CATCCCGATTCCATACAATGCTAAATGAGGTACACCTGAGCACCGCATGGATGGTCGTGTACGCCGCATTTGTTGCGCTAGACCCATCTTGTCTTGGGCTTCTTCAAGTGGCCAGCGCGTCGAAGTATATACGAAAATGTTTGCTTATCCAATAATATACAAGTCGCCTGCATGTATTGATATCACTACATCTGGATAAACTTCACACAGAGCTCTTCTGATATCAGGCAAAATAGCTTCAGGTACTCATCAATATAACCTATCGGTAATTGGGGATGATTTCTGTTAGCTTAGTCTTACGTCCAGCTCCTTTTCTGCTACTTACCGGCAGTCGTCGTACCTCATCGTCACTGTATTTTTTGATATAGAGTTGTACTGTCCTAATGTTGATCCCAGTCAAAGAGCAACGTCTTTGGCAGTGTCTTTCCTGCTCGATCACGTAGTCAAATAGTTGTTCGATTTGATGTGCAGTGTTTCGTCCGTATGGCCTTTTCGTCTTTCGTGCACGTACCCGTCGCACGCGGAAGGGCTAATTACTACTGCGGACGCTGCTGATATCACCTGCTGTGGTGGTACCACAACAGGATCAACATCCATCAAAGCTCTCAGTGGGACCATCACAGCGTCATCAAACACATTTTTTTCTTCCATGTTCATAGGCTGATATTCGTCTTCCATCAAAGACTCCACCGTGGCATTTTTAACTCTGTGGAAGCGACATTATGACACAAGATCATGTTTTCACTTCCAACATTTAAATTATTATTGTTTTCCTTGCTGTTTGCTCATTACATAAGTGTTCTCTGCAGAAATTTCAATTTGCTAGACGGCAAAATTCCTTCAATTTTGGTGCAAAATCAATTTTACTTCACCGCAAAATATTTAGAGAAGGACTGTAGCCTGTCAATCTTCACTCTCAGAATGAGACCATTGTCAAGTACCTGGGTAACGGTCATCCTCGGGGCATTAGCCGTTGCCAATGCCGAGCAAGGCAACAACTGGGAACAAAATCCTATTGGCTCGGATGAGTATGTAATGTATAGCTTGGGTGTGACATGCACTTTGCAACAACGTCCTGATTCGAGATTTTCATATTTGCCTCAACGTTAATAGTGCCACTTCGCAAGAATTAGTTTCATTTGAACCTTGTAACGACTTTCCTGAATACTGTGAGCTACCTATTGACTGGTCAGTTTGGCTAGGAGCTACTGGCTCTGGAAGTTCAAGCATCGAGAAGGGTCTAACATTGAAAGACGGAGAATGGATAGAATCTGTGGGCGACGCCACCAGCTTGAGCAGAACTCAAACTCGTACAGTCACTTCCATGCTGAATGATGGTACTTGAAAAGTGTATTCAACGATTTTACGTATGTGTAGTCTTTGCTGATCGCTCTATATTGTTGTTTTTTTAGGAATCCGGTTACTGAAAGTCGATCTTTGCTCAAAGTAAATATTGCATTGGCTGTCAAAACGTCTTCGTTTATCTTACTTATAGCCTGCCTTTATAGTCACGGAGAACCAGCTCATGTGTGTTTTTCAGATGGTGAAAACATCGGATATGGCGCCACGCTAAAGAGTTTTCTTCGCGATTCATTCCAATTTCTGAAAGACCAACCACACCAAGCTCTCGTTCTCCATCTAGAAGAAAACCCCATGAACTCGGTCGATATACGCCAAGTCGAGAAAGTGATAGACGACGTATGCGCTGAGCTTTCTAATAGAACCGCTGGTGTCTTTTGGTTTGAGGCCGGTCAGGTAAGTGATATGGAACCAAAAATGCCCAGGTACGATAAAGACGACTCATGCTTTTGTCTTCAAGTGTCCTTGGATTTATACAAAGAAGGAGATTTCTACACCATTACCCACTATGGGAGAACTTGTTGGCTTTGATCCTGAAATGGCACAATGGGAAGGTGATGGCGAACTGGTTGGCGTACGCTCACAGCTGATTGTTACGCACTCACAAGAATTCATCAGACCGTATGGATACAAATCCAACTACATGTCCCAGGTAAATGACATGGCATTAAGACTATTGAGACTATACAGGAGCTATGGCACTAACCTGTTTATTTTAGCCTTTCTGGCAAACCACTCACGGCGTCTCACAAGATATTTCTCAAGTCAAAGCGCAGTTGAAAAAATTATGTTCAAAGGCAACAGCCATTGAAGTTGAAGGTAGGTCGTTAGTTTCATGCATGAGATATAGGCACATTGAAATGATACGTGATGTTAATTTGCTTTGTTTCTGCCAGTTTCAATTGCTGAAGTACTAAGTGATTGTGTTGACAATGGCAAATGTGCAGATGCGGGCACTATGGATGCTTTGAATGATGCTTTGTATTCCAGACAAGGCTGCAACATTGAAACTATGTCGAATTATGCACGCATAGCCGCCATTTCCACCAGCTTTTACCATACGAAGTTGGAGCAGATCAAAGGCATCCAACGCAAGTTGCTTCAGCTGAACGAGAAAAAGCTCAGCGCCATCAAATTGAGTCATCAGCAACCAGGAAATTCAAAGCCGAAAAATCAGGCATCCCATCACGACGAGTTGTGAAGAAGAAATAGATAAATTTATTGCATTAAATAAAAATGTTCCAAGTGCAATTATATCCTTGACATAACCAACAGGATTATCATGCTGAAACTAATCTCATCATGAGGTGGGAGCAGACGGTGCTAATAAACTCTTAGTACGGTGGCTTCTCATGCCATGCTATATAATGCTGACTTACCACAAACATGGTTTCGACGCATCGCGTGGCCTATTTCAGAAACAATGTGTGTGTATACTTTTTGAGACAAAATGCCCAGCTATATCGTATCTGTTAATGGCGACAAACTTACTTGAGTTGTGCCACTGTGTCCGACATTCGAGACCATACCAGCAGTCCTCTCTCGATGTCATTATGTCTAACCACAGAGTTAACAATGTTCCGTTTCATTCCTACTAGCCAAGAGCTACATGACAAGAAATACCTGGAAGACTTGATCGCGGAATACTTTGACAATATCCAAACATTTGGCCCCAAAATACGTCAATTTTACAAGAAGCGCATGCCAGTAGAACTGAGGAAGGACGTAATCTTGAAACAGTCGATGAAGTAGATGACAGTATGGTACCGCTAATTGGAAACCGTTTTAAAAAAAAGAAAGGTTTATACGGCAGCTGCAATACTTGTTCTATGTTCAAACCTTAGGCTGGCGAGTGGTTGTCGGTAGACATCACAATGGTCTTTTGCAGCTGCGGTCAAGTCTGACGCGGCCGCTACATTGTTGAAAAAATAAGTCAGCCCCCTCTACTAAACGTTAATATGCAGCAGCACTACTTACAACAGATATAATCGCCACTATCCAACAGGCTCATGCATTTGGCCCACATCTGGTCCATAGTAGTGCCTCCACTGGCTACAAATTGTCGAAGGAATTGGCGCTCAACATCATTCAGACACTCTGGTGCATTGAAATTGGATTCTGACGCCGACAACACAAATATCTGCGCTATTGGAACATCTTTTCGTTCAAAGCGTTGAGCGTCCACCAACGGAATCCATCTAACGCTACGTCACTGAATACACATACCTGCCAATTTCCCGAGATGGCTACGCTCCGGCTGCTCACATCCCCAATATAAATGACAGTAGGTACGCTTACAAAATGAACCTAATAAAATAACACCATAAGGTTGAATGAACTATGCCGAAAAGAAGCTGGACTTTTTTCCTTACACGCCTGAAAATAAAATATTGACATCATAGAGTTAAATTTTACTAAATTAGCGTACGGGGTTCGAAAGAAGCCTTGCGTACCTGAAGCAAATTGGGCTCTCCATTCTCATATCTTGCAGGCATAAATCGTTCGCAATCATAGCATCGTAGATGGCCAGTAGGAGTAGGAATATCCCAACTTGTAGGCAGGGAGGGACCTAAAGCGGCGTTCTCATGGACGACTATCGGATTCGGGCAGGTATACCCAGTGTCATTATCCGCAGGGCAGGATCGACACGGCCTAAAGAAACGATGAGATTGGATCTGTGATGAAGTGGATAACCTAATATAACGGTACCCACACTGGATACATCAAATATCTATGATCTCGAACAGCCATTTCCCTCGTTGCTCCATCACTGGAAAAGTCCTAGACATCTATATTGAGAAATTCAGATAGTTTATGATTTTTCCATGAAGCCAACTTACAATATTGCCATGGATCACATCCAGTAGATCGCACGTTGCTTTTTCAGAAGCGGAGCGCTCCACTGACCGGTTTAGCCGTACGAAGACGTTGACTATTTTTGCCATGGTATGATTCCGCCGGACACCGATTACTTCTTCCCGACAAATTGGGCAATCTCGCTGACTTGATAAAAATGCTAAAATAAACCCAAGCCGCAGCAAGCTAAAATAAATCCCAATATTCTGCAACTTACCGTGCTAAATGCTGGGAATAGCATGATGCACAAAATACATGCAGGCACATAATCAAGGTAACTGGCTTGTAGTATAATTCTTGGCATATTGCTTTTTATATTGATGCGCAGATCAACAAAATGGTTCAAAAGCACAAATGAGTGTGAAGCGCATTTTAATCGATGTGCACTGATACCAGCTTACCGCAAGTCAAGTCGGATACCAGGTCATTCTGTGAGGTTATGATTAGTGACGATAATAATGGGCAATAAATATTAGACTAGAAACATTACATCATCATCAGCAAGCTGGTGTTGCTGAGCCATGGTCCGAACCGAAGTGGAAAAGGAAAAAAGAGAGAAAGAGACGAGGCAGTAAGGCAGCCGTAACACCATGTCGATGACGCGCGCATTTCCATGGCCCTCAGATTTTAGGGCGCGGACCTTGGCCTGAGACATAATTCCAGTGACAGACATGGCGCTAATTTTATCTCATAGTTCTCTATCTCTTCTTCACTTCCTTTCCTAATGCCCATTAGCTTGTCAAATGCAAGGCGGCCGCCTTTGCATGTCTTGCTGTTCTGTTTGGGATTTGCCCTACTGTTATTCTCATTCAATCTGTTCCGCGATTCCTATACCTCCTTTTCACCCACCCCCTCGAAAAGTAACACCACTGGGTACACTTTGCCATCCAATATCTCGCCCGAGGATCCTGTCCGGGCATGTTATGTCGTCTTGGTCAGAAATCAGGAATTAAATGGCTTGTTATCTTCGATGCGTCAATTGGAAGACACCTTCAATCGAAAGTTCAATTATCCTTATGTTTTTCTCAATGACGACGAATTTACGCCTGAATTTATTGAGATGACCTCAGCGGCCACCAAGTCTGAAGTCAAGTACGGTAAACTTGATTCACAAATGTGGGGCTACCCGTCGTTTATCAATCAAACACTTGCCGCTGAAAACCGTGAGGCTATGGCTGCTACCGGTATTCCTTACGGCGGAAGTGAAAGCTATCGGCACATGTGCAGGTACGGCACCTATGAGCTTGAATGGAAAAAAAAAATTTCAGTGACCTCTTCCCGCTAACTGACATTTCCCGACAGATTCCAAAGCGGCTATTTCTTTAGACACCCTCTTTTGGATGAATATGACTATTACTGGCGAGTCGAACCAGATGTTGATTTCAGTTGTCAAGTAGACTATGATGTCTTCAAGTACATGAGAAACCATGGAAAGAAATATGGTAAGAAGGCGATCGCCAAGCTTTTGATTTGATGGGTGGCCGAATAACCGCGGGTATTCATTCATCTCATGTTACGGGTTGTTAGGCTTTACTATTGCTTTCCGGGAGTTCATGGGTACCATTCCCAGTCTTTGGGACACCGTTCGAAATTTCAAGCGTGATTATCCTGAGGTGGCAGACAACCTGCCTGCTAGACAAGATACACTTTTCAAGTTCATTACCGATGATAACGGTAACACCTACAATGGTTGCCACTTTTGGACCAACTTCGAGGTTTGTACTCAGCAATTCTCCTTTTTCATTTCTTAATAGTTTTGAAACAATAACTCATAATACCTGTTGGTTTTGCTTTACTTAGATCGCATCGCTAGACCTGTGGCGATCCAACGACTATCTCAAGCTATTCAGTTATCTTGATAGAAGTGGTGGCTTTTTTTACGAACGGTAAGTTGCCATAGTAGACGATGGTTGTACGCCCGAATGTTCTTTCTAACCATTGTCTTGGCAGCTGGGGAGATGCTCCGGTTCATTCAATTGCCGCCACTCTGATGCTGCGCAAGGACGAATTTCATTTTTTCAATGACATAGGCTATAGGTAAGTGACGTGACGAGGCGGTGCTGTACACCCTGAAGGATTCTCATTAAATGCGATTACTCGTTGATCTAGACACTCTGCTTATACACATTGTCCTGTCGAACCCGAGTTCCGTGACCGCTGTAGCTGCAATCCGGACACCAACTTTGGTAAGTGAAGATTCTTACTGTAGCACCATGTCATTACAAGCACGTTCACTAATCCATCCACTACAGATTACGATCCTAACCTCAGTTGCTACAGTCATTTTGAGAACGCATTTTAGTTGCTATTCCTTTTGTTTTTGTATCGCCGAGTTTATTTTCGAAAAACCCTCTTCTACCTGTATATACGATGAAAATTTTATGAAGACGAAATAAATTTGGCACCATAGATCAGTTTTTTTTTCTTAAAAGAAAAAAAAGAAAAGTACATCATTGCAATGACCGTTTGTTCCCCGAAAGCTCATCAAGAGGTGGCTGTAGAGCGTTCGTATGTTGCGTTCATACGTAAATGATGGCTAAGCGATAGAAACAAAATGCAATAGGTTGGTTGCCTGAAAACCCCCAGGTCAGAAAAGACTGCTAATTTGGAAGATCTCAGAAAATGCCCAGGTTAAAGCGATAGCCGGTGTCAAATGAAAAATACCATACTAGGCGTAAATACACCACTCCCCGTAACCTATGTCATAAGGATATACCATAGCCCAAATCGCAGCTTACGACAATAGCAGATTCATGACCCAAGGTAGATGATATTAATTGAGCCGGATTGAGTCGTAAAGTAGTACATGATTTCACGCTTCAAAAGTTTGGATCGACATGGTTGCACTGATTTCATTGAACGGGTCAAAACGATGTGTTGCTACCAATTCATTCACATTTTTGGGGTAGAGCATAAACAATGGATTTATGAATAGCATCTGTTTTTTCTCCCCATGCAAACAACGGTCCTGCCCAGACACTTGAGACCTGAATTGTGCATCATGCGCAGTTTCTTGAGACCCCTCCTTACTGGCCGGCGCTGTGGCATAGGGTGTGGCTTTCTTTCCATATTTGGCTGCAATTGACCGAAACGTGACTGCCATAGTAAGTGCACCGGCGTAAGGCAGTATATATAAGCAATACAATGGCTGCCCTTACTTGGGATTATTATTATCAAATCCATCCCAAATGATATTTATCTACAACGCTTACAAGAAGAACAAGGAAAAGAAGGCTGCTCAGACTGAATTGCCTCACTATGATCGAAAATTAACCGACCCATCCTTGGACGGGTCGTTAGAAAGCAGACCACCTCCATCCATCATTGCTATGCCGCAACAAGATGTAGCAACCCCGGAAATGGCTATGCCTACCCAGACATTGGATGACAAGAAGGCGGCCAGAAAGCAATGGATCGTACTGGGAGTGACTCTGTTCGTGGATATTGTCATTCCTCTTATCTTATATGTAAGGCTGCATGCAAGCAGATTTTTATAATCATGCATGATTCATACATTTTTACTCACTCTGTCCGTCTCTCTACAGTACATTCTCAAAAACTACATATCGCTTTTGGCAGCGCTGCTTATTTCAAGTGCTCCTCCCATTATCATGATCGTTGGCAAGTTCATTATTTATAGACAATTCGATCCTCTGGGTCTAATCATTGTCTTTGGCTTTGTCTTGTCGGCTATCCTCTCTGTGGTCGATTCAAATCCTCGCATTATTTTGCTCAAAGATTCCATCGTCTCGTCTGCTACTGGCCTCATCTTTCTGCTCTCTTTGCTACCCCTCCGCTTTGGTCGATTTAATCTCCGGCCGCTTACCTATGGCATTTCCGCTGAAATGATGTCAGCTGCACCCAAGATTCAATATGTGAAGGAGGGAGAGCTGATAGAACAAGCACCCACCCAGTTTTCATGGGAACATATCAAGTTCTTCAGAACTGGAATGCGCTTGCTGACAGCCATGTGGGGTATTGCCCTCTTGCTTGAATTTGTCGCTCGACTGATCATGTACTTCAGTCCCCTCACCATCGATCAACTCGTGCTATACAGCAACATCGTCCTTGGTTGCTTACTGGGAACAATGGGTGTGTTCACTATCATTTACAGTCACCACCTTCGAACAAAAACGCGCAAGATGGTCCAAGAGCTACTGGCCCGGTTTGCCGCCGATGCTGTTACCTCGTCCAATGCGGGTTTCACAGACAGCGTGTAAAAAAGATATATATATAAACAGACAGGAAGATCATTTTTCCTAGTTGTACTTTTAGATATTTATAATGGATTCATGTAAAATAGTTGAATAAACTTTGCTCTACTCAATTTCAAAGTGGTTCGTGTTGTTATTGCATAAGCTTGACTATCAGGTTCAGAAAAGATGGGTTGAAATGTCACAAGGGAACTTGGTTAAACATGCTAAGAATCTGCTTGCCTGGTGATGTTTGACGAAATCATAATTTTTTCCTAAATAATACATTAACGTACTACGATCCCTTTTTTATGGATGCCATGGATCAAGTGGGGCGTCCATGGTGTTTCCGAGTGCTTCTTAGATAGTTTATTTCTGGCAGTTGTGTTAGTTCTAGCCATGATGGGGGTTATTTGGCCCTTACTGCAAAGTAACATGAAAATGAAAGAAGTTTCTGAGGCTCATATGAGCGCGTTAGCACAGAAGTCAAAAAAGCTGCCTTTCCAAAAGGGGAGCAAATGTACCGTTACTCTCCCGCTTTGGAAAGTGGCTTGGGATAACCAAGGTGGCTATGCAGTTACCAATCTGGTGCTAACCATTGCCAGAGGCCGACATTTGTGTTTGGCACTTATAAAAAGACAGAAGATAAACTTCATTCCAACCTACATTCATCTTCTTTACACATCAACCAAATGTTCGCTTACGACGCTTACAAAAAGAGCAAGGAAAGAAAAGAAGGTACAAATCCTGGAGCTGGAGAGTTTCGAAAACTGTCAACGGATTCAGACAGAACGCCACTCGGCATTGATATGGATCCAAAGGGATTGGAGAGGAAACCAACGTTTTTAGAGGTCAAAGACAAGAAGGCAGCTAGGAAGCAGTTGGTCGTGCTTTTGATCTCGTTGATTGTCGATGTCGTCCTACCTCTTGTTCTATACGTAAGGAAAACACTTGTGGGCAGCCCTTACCTTACAAAAAAGCTAAACCGCCTGTATCTCTCATTTTTCATGTTCGTAGTATATCCTCAAGAACTACGTATCCTTAATAGCGGCATTGCTCATTTCCAGTGCTCCACCAGCGATCAGTGTTGTTGTCAAGGCGATTATCTTCAAAAGAGTGGATCCACTTGGTATCATTATTATCTTCGGTTTCGCCATCTCGGCCATCATTTCCGTGGTCAATGGAGAACCTCGTGTCCTGTTGCTTAGAGAATCGGTCGTTACGGCAGCAACAGGCCTTCTCTTTCTACTCAGTTTGATTCCATTCAAGATTGGCCGGTTTCAGAACAGACCTCTGAATTACGGTGTTACAGCTCAAATGCTGGCTGTGACTCCTCCTATTCAGTACTTCAGATATGGTGAGATGGTGGAAAAGAGCCGCGCAGAGTTCTGTTGGGAGTTCAGCCCTATCTTTCGAAAATCAATGCGGATCGGCACTTTATTGTGGGGTCTGGCGCTCGAAGCTGAATTCACAGCCAAACTTATCATGTACTTCAGCTCCATCACCATCGATCAATTTGTCCTCTACGGCAATATCGTGATGGGTGTGGTATTTGGTACTATGACCATCTTCACCGTTTTTCACTCCCGACGCACACGCATGCAGGTGGGTCTTCAGATGGAAGACATCAAGAGGCAACTCGATGATGATGCCCGCGAATACCAAGCTGAGCATGCGCCATACGCTCCAGAGTTCAACACAGTCTAGCTGTAGATTAGTGCATAGGAAAGTGCATGCGCAGATAGCTATTATAATTTTTTCTTTTGCTGTTTGCGCTATGTCATTGACTGTATCTGATAAGTAACAATGTACAATAAATCTAAATTTAACAATAACGGGTTAGGCTACTGCAATACATGGTTTGAGGTAGCACTTTCAGCATATTTATTCGCTTTTATCAGAGGTATAAAGTTTCCTGCCCTCGAGAGATTCGTGTCAGAATAAAGCTCTGCACGCCCGCAGTACTGATGTCACTTGCCTTTACTTGCTTATTTTCATTTCTTTTACTTTGCTTGGCTCACGCATGTTTGTTTTGGTTGTTTGGTTTGCTAGGCATGCATTTGGACAATGCGGGGATACTTTACCCGACCCGGCCACTCGACCAGTGCAGGCCTCCTTGCCAAAGTATAAATCGCACTATATTTGTACTACTTGAGAGGAGCTCCTAAAACGTTTTCTATCCTCAGCTGGTCGATTTATGTGCTTATCAGTATTCATAACACGCCAGACTTCTGGAACTAAAAAGTCATCTCGATACAAAGTTGAACTCTTTCGCTCAAGACTCTGTGTTGAGGTGACAGGCATGACCCTAAATATGTCAAGTGCTGCCGTAGTGGGAAGGCGTAAGCTGAACAGATTAGTAGTGTGGCTGTCTCACGTTTACTTGCTTAGTGCCAAGTGTTGAAGGGAAGGAAAGGTATAGGCACGTCATGCGCTTCTCCTCTCCTCAGTGTCTTTTTGATATGATATGTAAAGGTTAGCTGGTTGGTCGTCCTTTCGTGACTTGCGGATGGTAGTTATCTGATTCTCTAAATTTTGATTTTCTCGTATTTAATACTCTCATTAAAGTTATAGCCACTTTGAAGTCAGCGATCGCGAGTATCTGAGTTGAGCAAAACAGAGACGAAGCAATATGGAAGTAGTGCAAATAACCAAATTACATGCCAAGACACCAGCCAAGTATTGTCACTGTGGAAAAGAGGTAATTGCGCAGTTCCAAGTTCCAACGAAGTGGGATTGAAAAAAAAAAATTGAGCTGCTGCGTACGAGCATGTATGACAATCACGGTTGTGATCACTCCGGATCGAGATATAAAGGCTTCATCCACAATTTTTTTTTTTTTTCGCTCGTCTTTCCAGATCATTCTCAACTTTCATCGATTCGATTGAGCCCCTCACGCATGCTCGCTTATAATCTCTACAAAAAAGCGAAAAAGTCAAAGGCGGATAGGGAGGCGGCGGCCACCTCCACACCGTCTGTAGGTGGCGGTACTGATACGTCGACAACGGAAGAGAAGCTTACAGCCGAGGAAACTCGCGAGGAGGACGTAGGAGTCGATGCTTTGCCTCGGAATGACACGCAAAAGACATTTACCACCGTCATCAAAGACAAGCGGGCGCGGAGACGACAACTGATATTTTTTGCAGTCGTCTTCTTCGTCGACGTTGCTATGCCCATCATCTTATACGTGAGTCTACACGAGACCTCCTATCACACATACATTCACCACCTAATGATTTTATCCGCACCACCTATTGCCAGTACTCACTGCGTAACAGTATTTCCCAGTTAGCTGCATTGCTGATATCCAGTGCTCCGCCCGCTGCTATGTCAATATTCGAGATTGTATGGTATCGTACCGTGAATCCCCTTGGTTTGGTCATTATTTTTGGATTTGTGATCTCGGCTGTCATTTCTGTCATCGATGGAAACCCACGCGTACTGTTGCTGAGAGAATCCATCGTCACTTGTGCGACTGGCGTACTGTTCCTTATGTCGATGATTCCCTTTCACTACAAAAAATGGACGAACAAGCCACTGATCTATGGCGTCACCAAGCAAATGATGTCTCTACTTCCGCCAGTGAAGTATGTCTACCAAGGAGAAGTGATTGAGGAGTCGAGGTTGGAGTTTTGCTGGAAGTGGAGCCCAGTGTTCAAGCGAGGCATGCTTACTATGAATGCAGCTTGGGGTGTTATTCTGATCCTGGAGTTCGTGGCCAAGCTCGCCATGTACTTTAGTTCACTGACGGTGGATCAAATGGTTATGTACGGTAATATCATCCTTGGCGTGACACTGGGATGTATGGGACTGTTCAACGCAGTTTACGGCAGAATCATCAGGCTGCGCTCCATGGAAGAGTGCAAAGTAGTTCAGAAGCGGCTCGAAGAGGAAGCAGAGCAACAACATGTATATGTCGATGAGGCCTAGTCCAAGGTTTTTCATTATTAATAGATTTCATCCGTAATTCAAAACAGAGTTATAGGTATTTTGTAAAATAAATCAATAGTCCAAGTATGTGTGTGAAACGTACTTTCTCTCAGGTTGTTCGATCTGTCAGCACACCACTATGAAGTTTAGACAATCCGAGTTAGCCACCATTTACCTGATGGCTGACGGAGTTTCCTTACTGTCCATCATGTCGCAACGGTAGCCCAAAATAAACCGCAGCGTGTTCACACAGTATCCCAAATTTGAATTTTTTTCACCGACCCAGCGAAAGAAAAGGAAATTCTTTCAGTCTAAAACAGGTTGTTTGGAAAATGGTTGGAGTTCGGTACCAAATGTGTGACCAACTGGTACATTGGTAGCGGCTGTGGCTCATCATTGGTCACCAGCTGCGCGCCTCACAGCATGCCTTTCCTGCTGAAAAAGAATTTGGGATGAGTATGCTGTGGTATGGTACGGTTCATCGTGAGCTGCTGCTAATCAATTCATTGGCTCTGGCTCTTGAGAAGGTGCAGAGGCGTAATGCCACATATCAGCATATATGGAGGTACTAGTGCGTTAAACAAGATGTATCTAAATGCGACGTGGGGTTAGCCTGTGTTCTTTTTTCGGAATGGCCTTGGATGAGGAGTATGTGCTATCGATGGCAGCTGCTACTGTGCCTTCCTGATATAATCTTTCGTCGTAAGCATCATTTGCAAATAGTGAGCGCGTGCCAAGTGCATATGCACGAGCTAAGCGTCAAAAAGATATGGCGCATGATCAGAGAAATTGGAGAAACTGTACAAATTAGTAGACAGCGTGATCAGTGGTAGTGTAGCAAGTTCAACGCTGGGCGTTAATTAAGCCACGACGATGTTTTGTCATGGAGTAAGGTCATGTCGACTGTCCTTGTCATTTAAAAGAAAAGGAGGGATTTTCTCTGTTTGCAGACCTCACATCGGGGGACCCTGATGGCTGCTGTGTTTCAACTCGCTGTCATGTATCGACTGATGAGTGATAAAGCGTGTCAAGCACAATTCCACAGGAACAACAGAAAAATAAGACAAATTCTAGTGGACACTTTTCTTTTTTATCAAAAGCCATAATCGGCCTTTTGCAAGCACTGATCATTCCAGCATAACGATGATCCAAGGCCCACTCCTGGTGTCGTTCCAATTGCAGCACTATAGCCAGAGTTACATTTTACCTGTTAGAAAATCCTCTCCTTATGCATAAAGGTCTTATTTGACAACTACATGGCACATAAAGTGATTTTTTCCCCCTGTATTCATCGTGTGGACTGAACGGAGACGGGCAGGAGAGAAACAAAAAAATTGAGAGTCCCCTTACCTGCCAGAAGGGGACAGCTACACTGACATTGGCATTGCGCTTTATAACAAGTATCTTGCCATTGGGGAATTCTACTTTTTTATCCATCCACATCATGGAAGAGCCTAAAAAAGATCAATACCTTGTGGATTCGTCGTCGCTGTTCGGGTCTACCAACCTCGATGATAGCTCCATTAGAACGGAGCTACAGCTGGATCACAATAAAGATATCAGGCCCAGTCGATCTCATCGCAGCATACGACTCTTGGCATTCATCTTGCTATGTATCGTCGTACCCGTGGCTCTGTATTTCGCCCTTCGTCGCGATCACAGCTATGCGTATTCAGCCATGCATCTATCGGGTCTGGTACCTGTGACGATTATTATACATCGAACGATCTTTGAACGCAATATGGACATCTTGGGCGTATTGATATTGGCGGAATTTGTAGCCTCCATGGTGGTGCTGCTACTTCCTGGTAAGAGCAATAAGAAAAGTAACAAAGAGCATAAGCGATATCGGCCATCACTCATGTTATTGCTTTTTGTTTTAGGGGATGCATTGGAAATCATGGCTCGCAAAGCATGGCTGGACATTGGAAATGCCATTGTGTTGTTGTTGACCATGATTCCAAGTCAATACATGCGGCCTCTCCTATACTTTGCGTTTCGAGATATCATGCGCATTGTCAAGCTCATTTTCCCTTCCGATGGACGGTATCCCGTCGATAGGATCGCATGGGCATGGAACAACCTACGAAGCTATCGCAACTGCATACGATCGCTGACCATCATGTGGATGCTTATCTTTCTGGTGACGGGTGCTGTCCGTCTTGGCCTAATTTACAAATCCGCACTCCCGCAGGACAGCCTTCTTCATACCCTCATGCTAATATCTGACGTTCCTCTCGACATCGGCATCCTCCTGACTGTCCTCATTGGGGGGATTGGAATGCGCCTGTTCGTCAGCAAGCGACTCTCAGAACACAATATTGTGCGCAACACCTCTGATGTTTAATCCTACAAATGCTAAAAAGAAGTCAGGAAACCTAGCTATGAATGACTTTTTGTACAAGTTTTATGTATACTCCAACTTCACAAACTTGAGAATAAAGACAAGATTTAATAAAGGAATCCATCACGTCAAGAAAATAAAAGTACCAATGATAAAAACAGATGTATTTTGCAATAAAAAACGACAACAAAAGATGGACATGAAATTAATGCTGGCTGTACAGGATTGAAACAAGTGAATGAGTATTTAGGCTGGGCGGGGGAACCGGTTCCATTTATGCGACATCCACTTCCTCAACATAATTGCTAGGAACCGTGCCTGAGGCCATGCAGCTGTTGGTCTCAGTATCCCACAATTCACCATGCCACCAGTCGCCATCCCCTGTATCGACAACAGCGATCAAGTCACCAGTGGTAAATGTAAGCTCTTCGTCATCTTCTGCTTCATAGTCAAAGAGTGCTTGCACTGTAAAGCAGATGAAATGATATCGGTCAGAGTTACAGCATAATATCTGGCATCCTGTTCAAATGACTTACCCCACATAATGGCACGGTCGTTTTGGATCGAAGGCTGTGCTTTTGGGGAAAGCTCTGGAGAGTCTTCCTTTGCCAATTCCAGTTGATAGTCAATTCCATCATTGAGCAGCGATATCATGTCATCCAATTGGGATTCAAGATCTGTGTGTGGATTTTCGTCTTCGTCAGAGCCTATGGTTTGGTTACTATCATGGCTATGATCTTCTTGCGATGGACGACCTACACCTGTTATGGCTCCGTATGGGTCATCGTTTTCATACTGTGGCTCCTCTATAATTTTTTGTTGAGGTATCATCTTTGGAGTGCCTTGTCGACTGTATCTACCATTGTAATCATCCATGGCTGCCATGGATGCACTTGAGTCGATTGAGGTAGCAGAAAAGGTCGGTGACTGCATTGATCTTGAAGTGATTTCTCGTAGGGATACATGTCGATCGGCTTGATTAGCTCCACTCTTTCCAGACTGCCACGTCCCAAGAGCTGGCCGTCTGCTGGCAGCTCGCTCTTTGAGTGTATCTCGTATTCTGTTTGTACCCCTTCCAATTTGACCCGTTTCGAATCGTTGCAATATGTTCTCCAAAGAACTATGTGCTTTAGCGGATGACTTGCTATCAGTTGAGCTGACGGTTGCAAATGAGGGATTTCTGTTAAGTGAGCCACGGACATCCTTCAAGTCAACCTTAATAGGTCTGCTGCTGGACACTCTAACCAATGGACTACGTTCCTCTTTCTGACTTCGCACCTCTTGCTGCTGATTACGCTGATGTTGCTGGTGAAGCTCTTGCTGGACATTCATGTTCTGTGAAACCCTGTGGTTGTTATCCGTAGCGTTTGCAGGTGTAGTGTGGTGAATTTCCAATACCGAGGCACGTCTATTGATTCCATTTTGATAACCTTGTTGAAAGGAACCTTGTGATTTTTCCAAATTGCTAACTGGCATAGATCTACGGACAGAATCTCGTCGTCTTTCTGACTGCTTATCCGAAACCGTGACTCGACCATGCGTCTCTTTAGCAAATACTTCATTACTCATTGGAGAAGGGGCTACTTGTGGCGATGGCATTTGACGCTGTTCGTTAACATCTTCCATTTGTATGTTGTTTTCCTTTGGCGGTGTTTCCATTTTGACAGCAACGGGGATCATCGTCGAGCGCATTGAGCCTTCGGTGATTGAACCCTGTCGAGATAATATTGGCGACGGAGGGCTTACGTCTTTCTCACTCGCATTTGTAGCAGCTGATTTATCACTTTCCTGTTGTTCATACAGGATCATATAGTCCATGACCTCTGAGAAAGCAAATGAAATGTTAGCCAAATGATGACTGATAGAATAAGCCGAATTTACCAGAAAATGTCTTCCTACCTGGTATATCACGACCGGTACCATGATCACTCACGTAAGTATTAAGCTCGTCTCTACAATCCCAGCCATTGACCGATGTCAAAAGGCTCTCCCACCTAGACACTTGACTTTGTGCATAGGTCATTTGAAGGTATGCAAATTGCGAAAGGCTTTCTCGTAAAAAATTGATACGTTCTTCTTCCAAGTTTTGAAATTTCTTAATGTTGATGGAAAGTTAGCCAAGAAAGATGATAACACATAGAACACAGGCTGAAGCTTACCTCACAGCTAGCTTGCCATTCTCGATTCCATAACTGTATGCTTTCTTGTGCTGCAGCTAGAGATGACTCATACTCTGCGTCTATATCGAGGGGACGTAAAAGTTTAGGATAATTCGAGGTTGAAATGGGGAGATCTGGAACACCTACAAAGTGTCTTTGCAGAAGCAGCAGCACGAGCGAGTGCAGCCTTTTGATTTTCTTTGTCTTCTCTCAGCGTCTTAATACGCATGCATTCATTGTTGTACTTGTCTCTCGCCTGAAAGTAACGGAAGAAGGGAGCATTAAGTTCAGTCACTCACATATAAACCCGCGACACATTACTGACAAATTTTATGTTCAGCAGCTTCACTTACCCGCAATACATAATGTATCTAGGAACAAGTGTAGCTTTAGTAAAAAATAGTCATAACTAGATAGCCCTCAAGTTTCATATAATATAGCGTACCTGCAGTTGTCTCTGATTGTAGACATCCTGGACAGCCTTTTGAATCTAGTGAATGAAGGTACCAATGAATCAGTCATTCTACATTGACCACCTGAATTTCGATACAAAAGGACATGAAATTTTACCAGCTTGCGAGCTTCACGCTGTTTGGTGACGAATTCGGCTAGTGGAACCCCTAGCTCAACTCGTATGGTTTGAGCCAGTTGTTGGAAGTGTTGTGCTTCGGTCTGAGCGTCTTCCTGGGCGGATTGTAACGACTTTTTAACGTTTCCTGTATCGTCTTTGGCTACTTTACTTTTTTGGATTCGCTGAAGCTTTCTACTATACTCCTCCGCAGCAAGCGCTCTGTACAGCAGAGATTAGTATTTCACTCAACAGACTTTCCAAGCACTGCTGTATATTGCTTTTCAAAATCATGTCGTTCGTTTACCTTGCTTCATACATATGGCGAACGTCTTCACAGGTCTCTTTGGCATGTCTCATTCGTGCGAGTAGGGTTTTTACGCCTTTTTGTTCTCGTCCCTGTTGAACAGACTGCGTGAGTGGAAAGCAAGGAGTATGCGGGACAGTAGGTTACTGGTACACACCCAGAAGTTATCGGCAAAATTCATCGAACACAGCACAGGCGATATCTCATGCGGCGGCATAGTTGCAGTGAGTGATTGTTTGTTTGAAAAGAAAGCAATCGAGCGTCAAAAGCAGAAAAAAATATGGGATTTTCCATGTAAACTTGGATTTTTGTTTTATCCCCAAATTTGGGTATGGAATCAAAACACACACAAAAACGCTCGGTATAATGTTTATTTTTTCTTGCCCTTAGTATCGTCTATATAGCCATAGGTTTCTAGTACCTGCCTTGCCGAGTTGTTGATGTCCTTGAACCGGTCAGCATGTAAGTGGATACCTAGTGGATAGTATTAGTTCTGGAAAGCCTCATCATGCTGAGTTCAGAAGAGATAATTCTAACTTTACCTCCGTACCACCTTGATACGATGACCACCACATTAGTAACATCCAAAATTTGCAAAAGATGTAACAATCGGCCTATAAAAATATACAGTAAGTCAACTGGGAGAATGACAAGCTGAATCGGACGGGGGGTTCCTCGAACACGAGGGAGTGATTTACTAACCTCCAGCAGCCGTTTCACCGTCTTCATCGTGATCCTGAGCAATGACGCCAGAGTCCAGCTCAATACGATAGGCAAGGATATTATGGGTAGCTTTGGCAATCTTCTTGTTCTGTAAAAGCTTCCTTCGAACCGCTTGAACCTGCTCCACACTGTTAACTGTTGCCACGTGGCCTACAAAAACCGATTTGCGGTCAATGAGCGATTCACCACTTTTGATTTCCGGGCACTCGTCGTCCAAGGAAGAATCGATCTTGGAAGTGGTAGAATCGTCTACATCGTTTGTCGTTTCCATATCCTCCGGTTGCTGTACTTCCTGCTGCTGCTGCTCCTCCTCGGGATACGTGGCATCGAGGTATTCCTTGAGCCAATTGATCCATTCAAACAAGACGACCTCGCCAGGCACAAACATGGTCTTGAAGTTAGTATCAATTTCTTCTCGAACGCTAGCATCAATCTTTTGCGTTCCACAGTAGACTGACGTGATCTCGTAGACTGGCATGGTGGAGCTAGGGTAGGCTTCTGGAATGTGAAAGTCAATGACCACCAATCTCGGCGATCGCAAGTTATCACTCGCCTCTTCGTCTAAACGTAGCGTGAAATGGTAGGTGTCCGGTGCGGCTTCATTAATTTTAAAGTCTTGGTCATAAATAGACTCCAGAACAAGAGCTTCTTCCTCTTGAGCTTGGCGATCAGCAGACATTGGAAACTGTGAGGCAATGGATGGAGTTGAGATCAGGACTCTTTAAACCCGTCACTTTTCTACGTTCCCCAACCTTAAATTCGGTCTTATCAACGTAGACACAAGATAATGACCCGATAGTTTACGAGCGTTTATACCCTCCATTGCACAAAATCCCACGGGAGCTGATTGTATATATACTGGAATTTTTTTTTTGTTTTCTTTTACAAAAGAACTTCTAAAAAGCATATGGAGATGTATTTTACATATGTGAAAAATTGACTATAAGAAAAGAAGAAATAAAAAAAGGACACAAGATGCGGATAGAACACAATGGAGGGGGTAAAAAGGGATATGAACAAGAGGGGAGTATTATTGCTTGTTTCGCTTATGCTGTTCAGCTTGCTCTGTGCCACCCTCGTCTTCCCTCAGTCGTTTACTGGGGTCACCTTGTTTACCGCTACAAGAAAGAGTGAGTATGAGCATACACAAGTAATTCCTTCACTGACCCATTCACTCACCTGTCAAGTTTGGCTAACGGAGATGGTTTATAGTTATAATCTCTACCTCCCGGGGCGGGCCAGTGAAAGGCACGGCCGCTTTCCCGAGGCGTGGCAGAGAAATTTAAAGGACTCGGTAATTCGCTTTGTTGGTAGAATTCAGGATAAAACGTGGACGGAGAGGGTAAATTCTGAGCAAATTCAGAAGGTAAAGCAGAAGGAGGACCAGGTTCATTTGCAGTGTTTCCAGTAGCTCTCATGGCCGCCGATGGAGGCTGAATAACATAAACAATGATTTAGTGTCTCTAATAATAGGGAGGCGGGGTAGATGAGCGGAGCGCTGCTCTTGGCAAAATAATAATTACCTGAGTACTCATTGGTAGCATGTCGTCGCTTCCTTTTCTTGTTATCCCTTCATCCACTTCTGGTTTTGTCACAGGCTTCTCGGAAGTCTCCGATGGAATCTGCACTCGTAGCTTGGGCCGCTTGGTCGTGCCATTTGGACTTTCAACCTTGGGAGAAGAAATATTGGGCGAACCGGGCCCCCCACCCTCACTGGAGGAAGGAGTGCGACTAGAGGGAACTGGTGTGCCGTTATGCGGCGGAGGAGGAACCGGTGAGATCATACGTTGCTGATGTACAGGCTGCGGCGAACCTTGATACTGAGGTGGGATCGGCAAAGGTGAATGGGACGGTGGATGCTGCTGTTGAGGTTGCGGGTAAGAGGGATACGACTGATTATAAGAACCTGGATGTGGCGGATACAACGAATGTTGAGACGACGGTGGCATTGGATGCTGTTGATACTGTGGATGCACATTTTGCGACATGGGAGGAGGCTGGGTAGCCTGCTGCTACAACGGAAAACAACGATCAATACCCAACCCATCAGCATTTCAACCGCTAGCTAGCCCTAAACGTACCTGCATCATATACATGTGAGGATGGGGTGGCACAGAATACATGTCGTAACCCGGGCTAGGCGACATAGAGCTGGGAGGAAACGGCGGTGGTAACGACGATTGATATACAGAAGGAGGTTGCATTGGACGGTTGTACGGAGATATAGCAGCGGGATGAGTAGGCATTGGCGAGTGACCATGATGAGCAGGTGGAGGCTGTTGCGGCGGCGGCTGCTGGGAAGTTTTCCTTGGTCGACTCACAGTGGACGGTGGTAATTGATCAAAATCGGCTTCAGGTGGTGGTGTTGCGTCGTCATCATCTTTCGATGTACCGCCCTCAGCCGACAAATTGGCAAACTGGGGTTAAGATTAGTATACGCTGCGATGTAAGGTGGGGGGGGGTCGTGTGACTTACGTCTTGGTTACTTCGGCTTTCATGCGGTTCACTGTACTGGAGTGATAAAGAAAGACACCGGTTAATAAAAAAACCCCCAAGACGTACGTGTGGTTCACAAAACATACTACTCCACATACTTCAGTGTATTTCATCAAGATTTTATCAATTTCAGTGCTGGCATATTGCACCAACTTGTTATTGGAGTTGAAGATAATCAGTGCAATCTCACAGTCGCAAAGCACACTCAATTCATATGCCTTCTTCATTAGCCCATATTTGCGTTTCAAAAAGGTGACCTATGGAACATGGTGAGCGTGGGCAGAAGATGTGCGTTAAGGCATGAGTAAATTTTTACCTGTTTGTTACGGTCATCTTTGATAGGTTGAATCTTGATCTTTTTCCTTCCCATATTACAATTATATTATTTTTGGACACTCAGACCACGATTGTTATTTCAGACGAATAAAAAAAATTGTGTGTGCGTGTGTACTAATGATAGCAACATCATTATAAAAAGATATTTTAAATAGCGTTAGGTGGGTATACCGGGATGAATGGCGCTTAATGACATGATGCATTGACAGACATCCCATTCGAAGTGAATGGGATTGGAGGTCAGTAAGGCGGCCTAAAGCCTAGAACTCACCTAAAGGTATTCTAGCGTCAGGCAGGGTTGACGAGAATAGAGCGAAAAGAGTCTGAAAATAAAAAAACCAAAAACAACTGAGGCTTATTCTTGGCAAAACGAGTCAAGTGATTGGTTGCTATTCTTGGCCAACTGACGTTTAATATGAGTTTGAAAATAGAAAAACACTGCCAGCGACTCTCTTTCTATCTAATTTATCGTCGTCTTCTTGAATCATCCTTTGATCTTTTATAACTGTCGTAAGATCGGTCCCGTCTGGATCGTTTAGAAGATCGTTCCCGAGAGTCCTCACGTCGTCTGGAATGTCGAGGAGGAGACCTTGGACGGGACGATGACGTTCGTTGTGATGGTGATCTTGAACGAGCCCGTCGTCTATCGTCTGCTGGTGTGCTTGAGCGACTTGATCCTCTGCTCGATTCTTTGAGCCTTGGTACAACTAAAGTGGTGTCAGAAAACTGGTAGGCGTTCCTACGATTCTGACGGTCACTTTCTGGCAAATCTTCTGGTTTGGCACCCAGGCCTAAGAGAGCATCTCGTCGTACAAAATTCTTTGCCGCCAACGGTCTAAATGAGTTTTTTTTTTGCTTGTTAAATCACATTGGTAACATTGATGTCATACGAAATGAATGGAAGACTTACTCGGAAGCTCCAGCTTTTCCGCCGCCGAGCGCTTGACCCTCCTTCCATCCCATTCCTCGCAGAAGGGCGGCTCCAAATTGTTCCACAGGCACCTGGTCATACTCTTCCAAGGACGTCTCTTCAGGCCGATTTTGGACATCGTTTCTAAAAACGTCCAATTCTGAAGGAATCACTAAGTTGGAAGTTGGTTCCTCTTCGTCATCTGAATTGGCCTCTAAAATGCAATAATGGGGTTACTCGTTTGACCACGCTGTCTCTGTTAAATCTTGAACACGGCTACCCCAGTCAAACCGTGACTTACCTCGAACAAGTGCAGCCAGTGCAGCTTCTTCAAGCGTCGGCGCTGTGACAGTGCTGTTTGCGGATTCCTCGATTTGCATTTCTGAGCTTCCATTGTCTTCCACTGTCACCGTTTCTTTTGTCTTTTTGGTCACTTGCAATCCATACTGTGCCACCTGCTGTCCGAGCACCTCAGGTTGAGAGGGACCAGCATTTTTTTCACCATTAAGGCCCGATTCAGGTATATATATGGACCGCTTCGTTGCTGCTTCCTTTCTAAAATCTTTGTTGGGTTGTGAGGGTATGACGATTTCCTTTTGCTTTACCTTTTCGTGCAGGCTGCGGAACCAAAAAAAAAAAAAGAGGAGTGACAAACGAGTTAGTGCGTGATAGGGATCGTTAGGAGAAATCGTACACATGGCATTGCTGTCATGCGCAAGTATGAATCATACGTACTGTTGTATTTTATTGTCTTCGAATCCAGTGACGGCTTCAGCTTTAGGCTCGTCATCCATATCGTCGTCATCGCCAAAATTGATGCGTTTCGAAGCATTGGCTTTTTGTTTTGGCGCAAATTTCGGTGTGCTGGTACGCTGGCCACCAAAACTCATGGAGAATCCCATTTTCTTGCCTTGATCAGCCATGGATCTATGTAATTTGCGTAGCTGCGTTCAAAAGAGAATTTCAAAATGCTGGAACTTGGTTGGAATCGCTTTGCGGCCAAAAAGCAGTCTCAAATTTTCAGCTCTTCTCCCCAAGCAACAGCTCCATTCCTACTTCATTCCCTTCATGTCAGGAGCAAACCTCGCGAAAGCTCTAGCTAGCAAAGGAATTACACTTATACATGGTTCTCATAATGAAACGGTGAAGCATCTAGTCAAGCTTAGAGAGAAAAAGTCATATCGCCACGAACAACGTAGTGTGCTTGTTCAGGGCCAAACCACAATTCAAGAACTACTGGATAGAAATATAAAGTTAAGGTCGATAGGATTGACTTTAAGCAAAGGCGTGGATCATTTAGAGCTGGACCGTAAAAAGTTCCCAGCTGAGCGCTATTTTGTGTGTGATATCAATAACACACGCAGGATCTTGGGAACAGCGTCACAACCCACTGCGAATGAAATGTTTGCCGAGGTGGAGTTACCCCATGTGGAATTCTCACCAGCCGTTGACAAATTGATTGTTTTTAACAACATATCTGACCCTGGTAACTTGGGAACTCTGGTACGAACTGCCAAAGCTTTGGGCTGGACGACCGCGGTGTTGACGGATAACACATGCGATCTGACCAACGACAAAACGATAAGAGCATCCAAAGCCGCCGTCATTGATTACCCTCACAAAATAATTCCATCCAGTCAGTTGATAGACTACCTTGTTAAAACGATGCATATGACACCCATCGTAGCTGATACTCCACCTCATGACATAACGGACACTCTGTCATCCAATACTGGGATTTTTTTCTGGAAGAAGACAAGTGGTCAACATTTAGACAAGTTACCTGATCGCATAGCCTTGATATTGAGCTCAGAGCATCATGGGCCAAGTCATATTGACCCTAATGTTCTAAGGGTATCCATACCCATGGCATCCAATGTCGAATCTTTAAACGTATCCAGTGCCGGATCCATCCTATTGTTTCAGTTGAATCAATTACTTGGATCCCCAGGACAAGATGTAAATGTGCGCCGGTAGAGGAAAACAATGCCCAATCTCGGAGGATAAACCCCTATATCCAAAAAGAAACCTGACTTTTTATTTGCTTGTTTTTCACATTACCTACGTACATGCGTCTATTGGTCAACAAGATGGCTAATTGAGCTAATATGGTGGGCTGTAGTGCCACAACAACCGCCAATGATGAAATCTGAACCGAATTGTTTAATCCAAGACTTGAACATGGATCCAAATTGTTGTGCATCCATTTTCGTCTCAACTTTCCAAGCACGAGCTTCAGCATCCCACTCTTCACCTCCATCAGGATACACTAGCAGCGTTTTGTTCTGAGTTGCACCGTGAATGTCCTGTAACAGTGAAGTAATAAATCTTGGTTTGGTGCAATTGACTCCCACCGCGCTAACATGATTCAGGTCGTTAAACAACGCCACGCATTGAGCAATGGGTTCACCGTGGCACACCGTATGTAAAGAATTACATGAGAACGAGACCATGCTTGGGACGGTATAAGGCGTTTCGCGCAGCAACTGATGGATGGCTTGGGCTTCCAAATAAGACGGCACAGTTTCAAATAAAATGAAGTCGATGCCGCGGTATGGGATACCGTCTTTGAAAGACAAGTCAGATGAGAACCCAAAGATTGTCGTTAATGTTTTGGCGTGACGATTGAAAGCAGGCCCCAAGTAAAACAAACTTACCATTAAAAAATACATCCAAGCGACGTCTATGGAAATCCACCAGCGATTGTAAAGAGATGTCACCATAATCACCTATGATGAACAAGTTACATGGGCAAGGAGGAGATCAACGACTTTTGATAAACAACTGGAAAAAAAAAACCACCACCAGGGAAAAACCTATTACCAGAATACTCTGCGCCGTTGGCAAGAATAGCGCCGTAACATCCAAGCGACAACGCTACCTTGATGGATTTCCCGGTGTTTTCTTGATACTCTTTTCTTGCTTCGTCGGCCAATTCCACGCCTCTCAGCATCAACTCCACCGCCTCGTTGTCAGTATATCCAGCCCGTCGGAAACCTTCGAAGGAAGCTTGATAGGTGCACGTGGTGATGATTTCTGCACCAGCATCCAAATGAGCGGTGTGTACTGCCTAATCAGTTACGGTATGAGTCGGACATGGCACCTGACGTGTGTGTGTAATATTGCAAAGCTTACCTTGATGGCTGCTGGGCAATCTTTTAGGCAAGCAGCTGACCAAAGATACCCTGTAAAAATAAAAATATTGGGTCAATTCCCTGTTTTGTAATACCCATGCGCCGATAGGGGATGATGGCATTCTTACCGGATAAATCTTTGTGAAAAGTTCGTTCTAATGTAGTGGCCATCCCACCATCGAGGATGGTGATGGTCATGTAGGCGGGGGAGGAAAATTAAAAGAAATAATCGAAAGCCCTGGAGGGAGAACTCGATGGAAAATCGGAATATCGACTCCGCGTGATTTACCAATTTAATATGGGTAATCCTTCGTTCTGGTTCTAAAATGCGATTTTCAAGTTGCGCATTTATGACGGGCAGTATGGGCAAATTCCCACTTTCCCATGTTGAAAACTAGTTTCGCATTATTTCATATCGCGTAACTTCGATAGCCTTCCTTTTTGACTAGCTTAAAAAAAATTGGCACCAAATTATAGGATATGGGAAAATGTATTGAGTATTATGCATAGAGGACAAAAAAAATGAACATCGATAATTATTTACAAAGAGAGATGGGGGAATATATCTGGGCTTTTGCCTGCTAGTCTTTTTTATCTTTGTAGAGCTCCTTCTCCCAGGCCAGCCGAGTCATAAAAGGGCTTTGGAAGAATGTTGCGGGTTTCCAGACGAGAGTATATGAATGTATGAAATTTTGCATTGCGATGGGGGGGCTCAACCGATTAGGAGGCGCGGTCGGTTGGTTGGTATGATGAGGTAGGTCGTACGGCTGCGCAACGGTAAAAATAAAATTATCGTCTCGTTTGAAAGTATTTGCAATAGGATTCATGGCTGTCAAAGGAAGGCAGGAGGTTAATGAGATATTCAATCGGTTTTCAATTGGATGCAGTTCAGAACAGTTACCTGAATCGAGATATATCGACTCCACAGAACTTGCAGAAGTTGCTGTAGTAGCAGACAACAGGAGTTGAGGCAGATGGATGTGAATGGTGTGCGTGCTTGTTCATTTATGGGTGAAGGTATGGATTGATGAAGAGTGAAAAAGTCTTGGTAAAGTTATCCTTTAAAAGCTTGGCTTGGTTTTGACTTAAGATGGGGTTCTGGAGAAAAATGCTGAAGTTCAAATGCGAAACGGGCTCATTTATAGAGACTGGAGAAAAGTGTGACCTCATTTGCAAATCGCCATTACACGTGTGCTCGATAAGGAAATAGCTTCCAGCATTATGATGACATATTAAAACTCAGTGGGGTTCAGAGAGCAAAGGTAAAAGGGCATGGCACTTTTCCCAAATCGTAAATTTCTTGTAGCAGGAGGGGTTCGATAAATCGACAACGCCAAGAAAGATACCGCATTGAGTATGATTTAAGGGAATCTTTTCGTAAGCAGTTTGTTGGACAGAAGTGATCCAAAAAGCGTTTGACCGATGTAGTTTTATATCAGGCACCACAAAAAACTTTTTCCATGCATATCCATTGATTCTATTTCATACTACGACAACTGGGATGAATTATCTAGCATGAATAGAATGCCATAGATCAGTGCTTATTTTCATTTCACCATAACGCAGTTGCTGGCGAACGCCAAATCATCGAAATGGAAATTCATCTTTCTGCCTCTTGACACAAATTATCCATGTTCCAAATCACAATCCCTCACTTTATGAAGCATTTTTTTCGACTCTGAGTATATGCGAAAATTTATGTCATACCATACCCTTTCCCTTCAGGAAGACGCCGAAAATTTGTGATGCTTTTTTTGACATACGCAAAATGACTTCACCTTGTCTAGCCATCACATGCCGTTTATCTTAAGATGCATGCCTCTATCCTATGGCATTGCTATATGCCAGATGGGTTCAAGATGTGGCTTTCCTGCAAGGAAAAAATAGACGCATTCATGCAATATGCCGTGTATTTTTACATGGACATCTTGTCAAGGCAGGGCAGCAAGAAAATCTCTTTTCGAGAGTGGGGTTATATTTGCTTGTTAAAAAAAAAATGTGTGTGCGTGATCTATTCTATCATATCTCACTTGCTTGAAATGGAACAACACAGAAGACTAGATGCTTGCTAGTTATCGTTTAGCGAAGAATGATTTCAAAATCTTTGGCGTCAGCTGCTGGTATTAGCAACAGGTGCAGAAAACAACCCAAAAAATGAAAATAGTAATGAGAATCCTTCCATTGCCTTTCGTGAAATCGTTGCCTGCTCCAGGAGATTTTGCTATTTTTCGCATTGACGGCAGGTTTCAGGGTCAGTCTCATGATAGCAATATGAGGCAAAATCAAGACCGCCAAGGTAGGGGAGTCGCCGATGGACGGTCAAATCGCAGTGGGAACCCGTTCCTACTCCTGATGCCTGGTCCGGGTCCAATACCCATAATCCCTTTTTTCGTCGCCTTGCCTTCCTGTTCAGATTGCGTAACGGTTTCTTGGCCATAAGCCTCAAAGGGAGGATTCTGCATTCCATGACTAATGGATTGGTAAGAATCATACCTTGTAAGAAAAATCAGGAAACGAAACCTTATCCACTGACAAGGAGATTTATACCCCCGCCGATGGAGTATGATCGAAGTTGGCAGGCACAGTGACAAAAATTTCTCAAAAACCGACAGCAGGGTACCTAACGTTTGGCAAAGCTGCTGTCAAAAAAAGCAAGTTGTGGAGACTGAAACATTTGAATAAATAGGAATTCTGAGTTGTCTTGAAACGATAATATGACGGTGATTCCACAAAGGGTCTGTTTGAACTGTTGCCGATGAACCCCAGTCTCGATATCTAGGTAAGAACATGCCATGGTTACGGCGCCAATATCATTCCAAAGTGCTCACACAAACTGGCATAAACACCCATACCTTTGAAATCCGATAAAAAAAATTTGGCCATTGAGTTCGTTGCAAAGGCAGTGAGCTCCTTCTTCCATCCATTGTTTTATTGACCGGCTCATGGTCAGAAATGGGCCGCTTGAGGTAAATTAAAGTCAGCTTGCCCCACCCGTTACTGTTCATAAACCAAGGTGGGATCTAATTCCAGTCGGCACACTGGACGTCATGAAACCAAAAGAAATACCAGAATGATAAGACGTTTTGGTTTGGCACCGCGCAGCTAAACTTCAATGATGGTTCCTGTGTGCTAAAGGAATAGAGCGACCTCAAGACTCATCCAAAAGACCGTGTGGACGACCTGAGATTGGCCAAATAAACTTATTCCCATTTCCAACCTTTAAAATACGACATCGGCCCCAACAAGCTTTGTTTGTTATCTTCATTGTGTCATTTCAGAATAGTGGCCTGGGTCAGCGGATCTTCAATGCATGCTGTTCGGAGTTGCTTCATGGCAAACTCAAGCAACAGGTCTAGAGCGCCATAGAAAATTACGAGTTTCAATTTCATTGATTGGGAAGTTTTATTGAAACCATCATCTATTATTGCACTTTTTTAATTTTGTCACTGATTCTTATCTTATTTTCGCGCGTAACCTTCTCCAAAAGCATATGCCAGTCAACCCATTGAAATGCGCGGGTTTAAAAGTCCGAACACCGAACATAGCCAAAAAGCATTGGATTACTGCTGACTAGGCTGATTTCAACTACTTCAGTACGAAGTGGGAAGCTCGAGACCATGAGCAGAACGTTAATTGTGATGTTGAAATATGTAGTGCTGAACGAAATATCACGCGGGCGTAAGGTTCGGGATGTGATGGATGAAGCACCGTGCGTTGCCAACGTCCTTGGGAAGACCCGCTTGATTTCGATCGGCAAGCATCGACATTACGTGTTACCGCGCAATAGACTAGAAAAAAATTAGTGGCCTGAAAATTATATATAACAGGTGTATCAGATCGATTGTAACTTTACCTTTAATCCTAAACTATGGCCGACACTACTCCTAAAGTTCCAGAAACCCCTCTTATTTTGCACCATTTGAACAACTCTCGCTCTCAGCGCATTCTATGGTTGCTGGAAGAACTTAATGTCAACTATGAAATCAAGTTTTACCAGAGACAACCCGACATGATGGCTCCAAAAGAGTTGAAAGATGTCCATTCGCTCGGCAAATCCCCCGTCATTACTGACGGCAGACACACCATTGCAGAATCCGGAGCTATTGTCGAATACTTGGTGTCCAGGTACAGTATTAGCTTGTAGAGGATGCTTGGTAGAGGAATTTTGCATTGACATATGATTTTTATCTATTTGGAACAAATCAGATATGGTAATGGTAAATGGAGACCAGCTGAAGGCACGGACGAACAGCTTCAGTACACCTATTGGTTGCACACCGCCGAAGGTAAGAGGACCGTCGATTATCTCGGCCCTTCATGCGATTCTCAATTTAATTTTTCTCTTATTCATAGGTTCCCTCATGCTTCCCTTGTTGTTGACCCTGATCTTGGGTGCCGCCATTCAAGAAACACCATTCCTTGTCCGACTTGTCCCATACATAATTAGGCGGGAAATCAACACCAGAATGATCGAACCCAACCTAAAGGCTCAGTATGAGCTGATTGAGGAGCACTTATCCAAGAATGAATGGTTTGCAGGATCACAAATCTCCGGAGCCGATATACAAATGGTCTTCCCCATTGACATAACCGCAGGACAAATGGATAAGTTTATTGGCGAGCACACCCGCGCCTGGTTGGAGAAAGTGCGTAGTCGACCAGCTTATATCAAGGCAATGGAGAAGGGAGGACCTTTTGATATGCAGAAGTTGTAATCTGGCTAGATGCAATGGACATTACAGCGTGTATTCTGGAGATGTTAGTCACTGTAAAAACGTAGTTGTTACCTGAGTACGCATATTGCGATATATCAACGGCAGTGAATCTTTTTGTAGTACCAGCCTTTTTTTTCCCTTGTTCTTAATTTTGGGTCTATATAAAACGCATAAACACGAATATATGGAGTTCGAACTGCCATACCCAATGATTCTACAGTTGACATAGACAGTTTTACTTCCTTATATAATACTATTGATTAAATTATTACTCTAGTTTTCTTTCGTATACACCAATCCATTCTCCCCAAGCCAACACATTGTCCTCTTTCACAGCCTTGACCAGTTCTGCCTTGCTAGGGTATTCTGGAAGATTTTCCAATGGCTGCTTGAGAGCCACGACTGTGTAGTAGTATCGATGTGGGCCATGGTTGTAAACAGGCTTAGGGCCTTCGTATACCGTTCTCAACATAGTCTTTCCATATTTGATGGATCCATTTTTGATCGTATGCTTAGTAGTATCTATTTCCTTGAGATCAGCGTGATGGATGCTGGTGATCTCAGACGGGATACCGTAAAAGAACCCATGGGCTATGGGGTTGGGGATCGGTACATCGGCATCCTCTGCCACAACAATGTATTGCTGAGCGCCTTGGACTTTCTCCCATGTCAATCCTGGCCACTCGTTGTCGCCATCCATAGCACATTGTTTTGGCATTGAGCACCCGGAAGCACCGATATCTGAAGTGACGTTCATTGTTGGTTCGATCTTGTCGAATGGAGGTAGGTGGGTCATCAAGCCGGCATCGCGACCCTTTTGAGAGCTGAGAAGGTATCCAAGATAAGCTTCAAATCGTTGACCGAAAGTTGGCATGGCAAACAAGTCGTAGGTTTATGGGAAAGAAGAAACCAGTGGCATAAAATAAAAAATTAAAAAAACTTAAATGTTTGATTGGCCGATCAATCGCAACTATAGCCGAGTATTTTTTGAGCATCAGGCTGTTGCCGAGTTGAAGGACACTTTTTCAATTTCTCCCAAATGAGCGGAATGTGAGCGATTCACGACTAACTTCTGCACCTAAAAAACGAACATAGCAGGTGCATTTGTTAATTATCTTTGTTGACCTCAGTAATCTATGGCTAACGTTGTAAATTGCATGGGATGGATCTTGATCTCGAGCGGCCAGAATGTATATCCAGTTATTTGGTATTCCGCACCTCGGCTCCATGTACAACCGATGCCGCATCTATGTAAAGTAGCGACTGCGCTTCAGTTTGAGAGTCGGGATCGCTTTCACTCGCATAATGTCTTCCCATTACGATTTTCTCTACTTTGACCGTCATGGTTTAGCTTTGACAGGAAGAACTCTTCTTTCCCTCAGCGGCTTTGACTGGACCAACACTTATCCTAAGAACTGGAATGAAGAGGAAAAGCCCAAAACCCCGTTCGGAAAGATGCCAGTATTAACTGAAACTCGAGCTGACGGTACTAAGTTTGTTCTCGCTGAAAGCAACGCCATTAATCGTTATGTGGCGCGTAAGTCTAGTATCGGTCTTCTCGGTTCAAACGAAGATGAAGCTGCTCTCATCGACCAGTACTATGAAAGCTGGGGCGAAATTGTTGCTAAGGGCGGTAGAACTCGAAGATTAAGGGAACTTGAACCTGAGAAATACGCCGAGCAATTTGAAATCTTCAAAGAAACTGTTGCAAATCCAATTCTGATTAAGCATGAGGAAGCTCTGATCAAGAACGGTACCGGCTACTACGTTGGTGACAAGCTCTCTCTCGTTGATGTCCATGCCACTTGTTTAATCACCGCTTTCGGACCTCTCCTTTCGATTGAAGAGAATTACCCTCATCTTTGGAAGCTAGTTCAAAACGTGCGCTCGCTGGAAGCTGTTAAGACTGAAGTAGAACGCTTCTCTATGCCCTCCAGAACATAAAATATACTAGTTCTTTTCCGAACAAAATATAGCTTTATTTTGCTTTGAAAAAAATCAACGGATACGCTTGCGAATCGTAGGAGTACCAATGTCTTTGAGGGATTGTAAAAGTCGCCATTGCGAAGGAAAAGGATTGGCTGTCAGGTCGTGGTGGTTGTTTTCACCGTGTAACACCAATGATCATACCTATACCGTCATTTAATTCAATATTGCGTTATTGGATGCCCATTCGTTTGTCGCTAAGAGCCCACAATTTTCGTATTTTAGCCGGGCTGTAACATGTCAATTGGCGTATGTCAATGGTAAGCCCACTGATCAGTCAAAAGGCAGTTCTTGACATCTTGTCCTTTGCTTGTCCTTCACACCCACGACACGATCAAGTAAAGTAAGTCATTATATATGCATTCACATACTTTGGTAGAAATCTCGAATAGCGTAAAATAAAAGCACACATTGTTAACCAAAGAAATTTCTATGCAGATTCCAAGTGAGTTTTAACTTCACATCAGAGTTTTACACATATCGGAGGAGGGTATGTATAGTCTTCTGCGTTTGCATTTTCATTCAACATTTATTTTTTGACGATTGCCTTTCAAACACACCTATATCTTCACTCTGTGAGTACATATGTTCGAATATGTTTCTCCTGCCGTACCAATGGTTGCGAGAAATAAATTTTCAGACTCTCTGCTCTGCTCTGTTATCGTAATCCTAGTTTAATATTGGGGGCAAAGTAATTCTAAATAAACAGTATAGGATACTATTGACTACTGGTTAAATCATTACTCTAGCTTTCTTTCATATACACCGATCCATTCGCCCCATGCCAATACATTATCTTCGTTTATAACCTTGAGGAAGTCTGTTTTACCAGGGTATTTGGGAAGATTTTCCAGTGGGTGCTTGAGAGCCACGACTGTGTAAATATAACGATGTGCGCCATGGTTAAGAGGCGGCCGAGGACCTTCATATGGAGTCCTCATCAAAGTCTTTCCATATTTGATAGATCCATTTTTGATTGTACGCTGTTTAGAATCTACGTCTTTGATATCAGCATGTTGGATACTGGTGATCTCAGGAGATATACCGTATAGAATTCCATGGGTAGCAACGGTAGGCAAAGGTACATCGGGGTCCTCTGAAATCACGAAGTATTCCTGTGCGTCCTGGATTGCTTCCCATGTCAACGTTGGTAGCTCGTTGCCCCCATCGTTACCATATCTTTTTGGCATTATGGTTCCGGATGGCCCGATATCAGAGGTGACCTTCAACGTAGGTTCTATCTGTTCGAATTGAGGCTGGCGAGTCAATAGCCCAGCATCACGACCCTTTTTGGAGCTGAGAAGGTTTCCGAGGTAGGCTTCAATACGCTGACCCACAGATGGCATGGTAAATGAATAAGTTGATGAAAATGAAGTTGAGTGATTATTTAAAGATATATCGACCCAACGGCTTTAAATATTGGGACAGACTAATTCGCAGAACTTTACTCGTATCCGTTTTAAAACTCAGACAAATGCTCAACGAGCGCGATATTATGCTCTCCTACAGTGATTGAAATGTTATAATTTACGATGATGCAAATGTATTGTCAACCCAAAGGACTTAAGAATCCAATTGTTTATTACTAAACTCTGGATCGATATAACACACTTTGATCCTGCGGCTTGATGTATATCCAATAATTTGGTAGTCCGTCATTTCGGCCGCATGTAAATCCGATGCCGAGCCAACGTGCGCGCAGAATCAGCAAGACTTGATCCAATGTCTCTCTTCCTTATGCTTGTAGTATCATCGATCTACCTTGGAAACCGAATGAGTTGAAAAACAACGGTATGTTCATTGGAAGGTAACTGAAGTCGATGTGCAGCAACCTGCGGCGAAAATACCATAATTTGAAGCCAAGGGCGGATCATCATTGCGAAATCGATATGTAGACATCGATTCCGCTGTAGTAATAATTCTTGTTAACGTTGAGTGCTATTTTGAAGTTCGAAATAAGCTGTTTGCTTTCTTATCGTATGATATAACATTTTAAATGTCGACAAGGAAGCTTTAATCTTGTTAAGTGAGTCGAGCTGGTATTAACCATCACGCTGTCCAGCAGCACCTAGAAATTATTGGAAATACCTTGATGACCTCCCATATTTTTCCCACTAAATCGCGTTTTCTCCACACTTACTGAATAAAACCAATTTTCTTTTGCTTGCATGCTAGACCCCTCTCCACTGCGAATCTATCCTTACAACGAATAGTGTGTAGGACCCTCTGGGGACAGGATAAATCGAGATATGACGCCTGAAAGCTATTAGAAAAGTCGATGTAGCAGAGTGGTAGAACGTACAGACCAAATATAGCGAGAGTGTGGGGTATGCCACAGTTGAACTCGAGCTACAGGAGGTATTTGCAAGCCCTAAAGGATAAGAAATGAGCAACATACTATTTTAATTGCCGCTAGTTTGCCGTAAACTTCAATAGCAGTATGTATGCGCTTGTGCTGTTCATTACGGAGCGCATGACGCCGGCGTAGAGGTAATGGACTCTTCGGAAAATGTAATGAGCGATAAAGGGGTTTTCTTATCCCGTTCACTGTTTGGCAAAAAGACACCAGCTTAAACTGAACGTCAAGATAACCCCCCACAAGAGCAACCACTTCAAAATTAATGCACTCATTCCTATAGGCCCCGCCGTGGCATGAATCCAGTGGCCAGTAACACACATTGCTCTTTTAGGCGCCCCGAACTAGCATACTTCGTAAGGTCATCTAACATTCCGAGATAGTACGGCTATCTCAATTCTGAACACTATCGGCAAGTTCGATTTGGGAACATATTTGCAATGAGAGTATAGAACTGCTGAACTAGTTTGTTGTCCGTTTGTAGTAAAAAAATAATAATCAGGAAAAAACTAGTTGCTTTTACTTTTAGTCCCAATCCCTTCCCTTTCATGCAATTGATATTTATTTCAAAGACGTTCAACCGGTTATACAGAGCGTCCAATTAACGATGTTAAATTCAGGGCGGCGTTTCATGAGATGTTTCAGGGTCAATGAGGTATAGCCATTCCAGTCATAAGCCTTGATACCACTAACCACTTTACGAC